TATCTATCAACCAGATCTCACTAGACTTTGCCATATTTTCTTTTGAAGCCATGAAAAGCTACCCCTCAACAAATTTAACTTCTTCTGACACTTCAACTTGCTGATTTTGCACATTTTCCTTGCTCTTGCATACTTTTTCCACATGACCAAACTGATTACACTTCCTACATTTTACATTTGGCCTAAACCATTAGTATGTTTTTGCATAATTAGTCTTTTTGCAATAAAAACACATTACATTTATGGTTTTCTTACACTGTTGCCTCTAATTTAAAGTAATAGCATTCTTTTTATCTTCTTTTCACTTGGAGACTTTCTATTGGAGTTGTGAAAAACATTTTTCTCTTTAAACCTTGCTTCTAATGTTGTCTCTATGCTTTCTTCAAGTCTGATCTACCTTTTTACTTCAAAGGCTTGAAGAGCATTAACTAACTCTTGAAAAGTCATCATGGTGAGGTCTTTTGGTTCTTTAAGAGCAAAGATTTTAGACTCATATTTCTCAAATATGCTTTCCAACATCTTCTCCACTATCTTGGAATCGAAAAGCTGAATTCTTAGAAGCCTCATGACAATCTTCATTAGTTTGTTCACATAATCCTTCACAGTTTCATCTTTTTTCATCTTAAGTTCTTCAAATTGCCTTATTATGTTTAAAACCAGCACTTTCTTAGTTCTATCAGACCCTTAAAACTCCTCTTTGATCTTGTTCCAAGCTTCTTTAAAAGTTTCACAAGCCATAATCCTTGTAAATATTATGTCTATCACAATTGAATGGATGTAGGACAAGGCTTTATTCCTCTTGGTCACTTCCTCATTATGCTGCCTCATTTGAGCTATGGTAGAATATGCTCTAAGATCAAAGGTTTTCCACCATTTTCAACTACTTCCTAAAGGTCAAAAGCTCTAAGAAAAGCTTTCATTTTAACTACCCATACAACATAATTTTCCCCATTAAAGATTGGAAAAGAAAGACTATAAATTCTACCACTTGATGCCATCTTAAAAAAGAAAGGTCTCAGCTATCTAAGTGAAGGTTAATGTGTTTAATACAAAGCCTCAATGATGATAAAGCTCTGATACCATGTTATCTTTGGTGTGTAAAGCATTTAGTATGAATGTAGTAAAGAAAGGAAAAAAAATCAAAAAAACTATGTAGTAACAGCTGGTACACATTTTGCTTCATTTTCTTGCTAATACATTTTTACAAACTTACTAAGCAAGCTATAAATAGTGATTACACAATAGATTACAAGCTAAAACATCACTTAGTCAATTACTAGGGGCAAAGGCATCATAATTTGAATAGTGTTGTTACACTACAAAACATCATAGTAAGGACCATTGGTTAATAATAGGCACTGTTAAGGTTTTTGAAGCAAGTTCTAATTTAATAAAAAAGCAGTAAGAAAAAACCACTTAATAACGTAATTGTCATATATATCAGCAATAGCTAAATGTCCTGAGGGCGCCTACAAGCATAGATTGTTACCATATTTCTTTTATCTTAATTCTTAAAAACAAAGAAAAATTCCAGATTTAAAGAAGCTTGAAGGTGGGTGATGGTGTTGACATGAGAGAAAGAATTGGTTCATCAAAGAAAAATAGAGTTTGAAAGTTGAAAGCAATTGTGAACACTTTTTTGTGTTTTTCTATTTCATCGATAGTTTAATCATTTTTTAAAATTTGTTAACACATTTGAGGTTTTGAGGTGAAGTCTCTATTTTCAATACTAATGGACCCAAGATGAAATAGGGTGAAGTCCTAAATGGATGGAGGTAATTTATCCTAAAAAAATAAAATTAAACTCTACTCATAACTTCAACAGCTTCCAAATGAATGTATTAAGAAACATAATTTATTGGAATATTAAAAACTTTGCATTAGCTTAACAAACAAAGAACAGATGTATCATTGGAATAGCAAATTAAACTTCAAATGATAAAAAAAAAAATCCTTGGATCAAACTTGGTAGTATAACAGAATAAAATTTACCATATCAAAAAGTTGTAAAAAGCAGGCATGACAATAAAAAATAATTTACATAAACCTATAGAGAGGGAAAATGAAATGAATAAATCGAACCAGTTGTAAAATCAAGAGACTAACCAAGCAAGGTTGAAAAATTAAGATCAAAGCTATGGATCTTCAAAGCAAATTTTAATGAGAAGTATTGAAACTAAGACTTGCATGGAAGACCATAACAGCCCTCACGCATGTGCAAGTTCCCTATTAGTTTGGTGTTGATTGTTTCATCAACTTGCATGTTGATATGTCATTGTCAAAGCATGCAACCAAAGCATGAAAGGATTAGATATTTGCCATTTGTTCATAACTAGTGTATAGAAAAAAGGGAAATGATGGTTAGGCAATGTTTTAATTCTTTTATCAATGTAATTTAAAGCATGAAATGTTAATGTAATAAGTTAGTTCTTCTCTTCCATTGTTTTCTAGTTAATTTTCTTATTTTATTATAACATTTCTTCTAGCATTATTCAATTTTAAACTAAAACAAACAATTTTCTTTTTAACAAAAGTGTTTCATGCTTATTTTGTTAAACTTGTCAAATAGAGAATCATACTCACTTTGCAGTTTATTAAACAAAATATAAGAAAGTTCAAAAGGTACCCTAGTGTCCTCCTCTCTAACCATTAAGCAAAGATTAGCTTTTGCATCTGTTTTTAGGTCAGTGTCACTTGAAACAAGTGGATCATCCTTTGGCTAGGCTAGGAGATAGCCATTCCTTCCTTTGAGTTTGTTTCTTTATTTAAGGGACATTCTCATTTTAGGTGTCCAAGTTATTTGTAGTCATAGTAGACACCTTGACTCTTCTTTGAAGCTTTGCTCTTATGTCCATTTCTCCAAGAAAGTGCTCTTTTTGAGATTTTTCTTCATAGTTTTGCAATGTTTCTAGCTCAACAACCTCTTGTATCTTCTGGAAATAATAGCCATTTCTTCCTCATCCATTTTGCAGAACAATTTTCCAGTTTTTTCTTTTAAGGAGCTTTCTCTCAATCCCAAACTTTTCTTCCTCTCCAAAGCCTTTTTTTTCCTTTTCTACCTCTTGTTAAATTTCTTGCTCATAAGAAAGCAAGGATTTGCAAATCTCATCAAGTGAGATTTCATTCAGATTCTTAACCTCTGTCATGGCAATCACCTTTTGTTTCCAAGCTTTAGGAAGAGATCCTAATAACCTTTTTTTTCTCTCATCTTCAGGTATAACCTTCCCCCATTACTCAAACTAATTTGAGACGGTTGCATATCTATCCAACATGGAAGTAATTGACTTGCCAGGTTGTATCTTGAATGTTTCATACTTATGTGAAAAGATTGTGATCCCAGATTTTTTAACTCAAAAGGAGCCTTTATGTATAATTTTTAGCTTTTTCCAAATTTACCTTGCTATAGAGCATGTTGATATTTTTGAATTCAATTCCATTAAGGGCATAGTGAAGAGTGTTGATCACATTGAAGTTAATCTGCATCATTCTCAGTTCTATTTCAGACACTATTTGTTTCTTGGCTAGAGAATCATTTTTCCAATTGTTAGAGACATATGCTTAGGGATATAGGATCCTTCTATGATTACATTCCACATCTCGTAGTCTCAAGCACTAATATAGTTGGACATCCTTATGCTTTAGTATTGATAGTTTATTCCATCAAACAGACGAGGCCTAACCATGGATTGTCCATCTACTATATGCGCTTTTATTACCACCATCTTGGATTACTCTTGAGCTCGTTAGACCTTCAAATGTAGAACATTAGTTCTGATATCACTTATTAGTCTCAAAAGATGGTACTAGAGGAAGGTAAAAGCATTTTTTTGGAATTGAAGATTACGGATAGAGAGAAATAAAAGTTAAAGGACAAAGGTAATTGAATTAAAAAAAATAAATCACCAAAGAAAGGTTAAGGAAAATGAACAATGCAAAACTATTTATAGCAGTTTGATCCTTCCCAATTTATATTCGCATCTTTATAGAAGCCAATTTTCTAAATCAACAGAATTAATATTTTCTACTAAACTTTTACAAAGTGAACTTATCTCAAGTCCAAAACTCTGACGTGCGAACCCAACAATGTTTCCTTCCCTTGCACTTGTTTTGTCAAAAACAGAGTAAAACTTACACTAACACAATAAACATATAGCTTTTACAGCCGTGTGGCTCAATCACATACTTGATTTTAGCACAATGACTCTTTCTCAAAGTATAAGAATTACGCTCCCATGAGTGAAACTGTAGTAGTAGAACTTGATCAGAAGACAGCATATTTTTTAAGTTTTTAACCGTTTCAGCTGTTAAACTGATTGCAAGTTTCCGTTGCACATGATGTTTGAGGCTACTTTAGGTTAGGCGCTTGAAGTTCAGCTCAGCCCTTGTAGATTGAGCAGTCAAGAGTTTGAACTCAAGCCTCTTAGACTTCGTTCTTGAACTACAATCTTGGACCTACATGTTGATTATTTGTCAATAGAGAACCCCTTGAGTCTTCTGTTTTACTTGTGTGTATGATATAAGCCACTTAATCCTAATGCATTAGACGACTTTGGAGTTGAAACTCTCGACTTTAGCTGTAGTCTTCATATGATAACCAATTGATCAAAAATTATTGAATTTCATACATAATAACCTCAACTAAGAAAGTTTCAATGGAAAAATCTGTCAGACATTTTCCAACTAAATAAAAATACTTCTCTAGATAACCATTTTTCCTTTTTCCTAATTATCACATGTAAGCCAGCTTATATGTTTAAAAAGCTTGATTGTACTTTATAGCATGATTGAATAAGCAAGAAATTTTATTACTTGGTTAAAATAAAAAAATGACTTCCGTCCTCATTCGGGCTATGTTACTAGTACATTACAATTTATTTTCAACAGAAAGCCTAGTTTAACTTTAAATGTTTATTTTGACAAAGAAACAAATCTTAAAACGTTTTTCTTTTAATGGCAGATAATGATATCCATAGACTAACAATTCCTTAGATTCATAAAGCTGATAGCACGACATCAAGAAAGTATAATGATGCTTGAATACACAAGCTTTGAGCCCATAAGACTCCAGTACAAATCACCATTCAATATGCACGAGTGAAGAGTTCGCTACATACTACAAATTTGATAAATTATCTTTGAAGCCATATGCCTAACAGAAAATATCTCAACAATGAAAAACTTATCATTAACAATTCATATTACAAGCTTGCTGCTTCAACATTTAAGCTTGGATCTCTCAAAGACGTTATGAACCTCCTGATATCAGTTAGCACCAACACAAACTTTAATCTCACTGACAAATCGCCTGACTACAAACACCTTTTCACCTTTTTCTTTCTGATCGCCACTTATACACTGGCTTGGAGGTTGGACATATTAACTCATCTTCACGGAGTTTGCGCTTCCGACCCTTTTTCTGTCCATTAAATTGAATGTATTGTTTCACTTCAAAATTTAAATGCATTGCCCACAGTATAATAGGAATTCACTTAAATATGCCAATACCTGTAATTCCTTCTTCAATGACATTTCCATATATATTTTCTCCAGCTCATTTACCCTACTCTTCCTGGCCTCTAATTCCCTGTATGATGTAGCTGTCTTCCTACATGTGTAGGAAAAAAGAAAGTACAAAGATTAATGTATGTATATGTGTATGTACTACATGCAATCATGGCTTCCAAGATGAAGAATAACTGATGGCAATAAAAAGTTTGCAGAGGATGGGAAGCCTGGCAAGCAATAATTATGTTTCAAGCAATCATTGCTACATGGCAAGCGATAATTATAGGTTCAAACTGGATGGAAACAACAATTAGGGTCCAATGGTAGACTTAGGATGGAAGAGATTGAATTTTGAGGTCTGAAATTAAGCAAACAGAACAAATTTGAATGCTGGTCTGGGCATCGGAACATTACCCATAAGCAGTATACTAAGTTCAGAGACAGGGTTACTATTTGATGGTCTCTTTGACGTTGGACTAGTTAGTGCTTGATAGAAGCTATTCAGAAATTAAAGGGCTTGATTAACCTGAAACAGATTAGATTAAAGAGTAGAGAGGCTTCATGGATTGCTTCACATAATAGCAAGAGCTACTTCTCATCAACCTGTTTTCCATTAATTAAAAGAAGTTGCATGCATATAGACAGATTTATAGAATCTCAATCTTTAAGGACTCCAAATAGAAAATAAGATACTACCAAGATTGACATAGTCCTAAACCATAAATGAAACCTGATGTAATAAGTAAGAGCTTTAGACAGTCATTTCCAGAAAAGGTAAAACTAACCAGAATATTATTGACACTTGAAACTGAAGAAACCAGGAAATAAATGACACCTACAACTTTTAACTTCAACAAAGAAAAACTGTCACCACTAACATGAATTTTAGATTAAATAAGGTCGTCCCACGTAAGTCCAACATACAAAGGTCATATTCCAATTCATTGAAACTTGACCACTCTGCCTACTTCATCTCCCCTCAATAGTGAGAATTTTAAGGTAAAGTCCCCTTTTCAGAAATGTTAGGAATACATTAAACTTCAACTGCAATGAATGTGGATTTTGAGCATCCACCAGTTAAGGTATTTTTATACATAAGCTTATGATGGCATTTGTAATTTACCTAATGCAAAAAATGCGCACATTTTCATTATATTATTAGTACTTCTAAAATATTCAGTGCACCAGCAAAACCCTAAAACCAAGATGACTAATTCACATAACTGCATAAAAACTTGTGCAACTGAGCATCACAATGAGTACTTGTATATCTGCAGACTCCACTGTGGTCCGAAGGGCAGTTCATACTGTTCAGTGGCAAGTCAATATTTTTATATGATGTAAAACAACCCATAACAATCCCATCTTTTGTACAAACATTTTAGTAGAATGAGATGAAGAAATATCATTCAAAACTTCATAAATATCCTCCAATAAAGTTCCAAATATATGACATTATTACAGATTTTTTTGTACTGAAGTGAAAAGTATATCCTTACCAAAGTCAACAAGTCAAAATAATAAAGAGCACCTTTCAGGAAAAAAAAAAATCAAGAGCAATTGCTTAAATGATATCTTCCAATTTCCACTGAATGAGCATTTGCAATTGTAGTTTTAAAATGCAAACAACTTTGTGAGTGAACATAATTAGATGGCCAATCCAGTTATTTACAAAACACCATGCAAACATTTTCTATTAACTAACCTTTTAATATGATCAGGGATATCATCAGAAGAGGGAGGAGTTCTGCTTTCTGAGGATTGTGAATGTAATTCTCTAGCCTCTTGCCTGCAAAAAAAAGTGAATACACACTTTTTACATTTCAAAACAACAGGGAATCTCAATAAATATAGACTAGACTGTAATTCATCTGGCGGGCTTTTCTTTTTCTCCCTTCTTTGTGAAGAGAGAAAGAGAGCAGCATATACTAAAGTGCCCTACATCAAAGGGAAGAAGATCTATACTTCAACTAGTTTTAACAGCCCTACAACTATGTCAAGATGTATCAAACAAAGATGAAAACTCAGAGCATTTGTACTACTCATTGAAAGCAAAAGCAAGTACTTTCAACTGTAGGAAACAACCATTGACAGTTTGAATTACAGTACAGAAACGGATTGCTGATTTTTTTAAAAATAAAAAGGAAAAAAAAAAGAATTTTAGATAAGAAGGCAAAAAGAAAGCATAGGGACAATTTAGGCATGTGTTGACTACTAAATTAAACATGGTTTTGATTTTGGAATAATGGTGACATGAATTTGTCATCTTGCCTGCATAACAAATACATCAATGCCATAGAAAAAACACCTAAAAGTTTCTTTTGAATAATCTTTCTAGCATAACAACAACCTCAAATAATGAACCAATTAGGACTGTCTCCCTTGTACCGGAAAAGAACTACATCGTGTACCCCATTCTCAAACCCATACCACAAGCAAGACATACCATATAACTAGTAATGGGTGATGTATCTATCTATCTATCTTTCTATTTGTTTGTCTATCCAACCAACCAACACACACGTGCACATACACCCATTTATTAGTCTACAAATATTTTTGTGAATTTCCAAAAAAATTTTGGTATAGCTTTTCATATTTTTGTCTTTCTTAATGCACAACAAAAGCAGAACCTTTTTACCACAATGTGGGGATAACTATATGGATCATAATTGTGCCCTTAAGATCATATTCTTAGTAATCACAGTATAAGTGGTACTCTTGTAATTTTTACCAATGTCCTCTTTGGTCATCTTCTCTTTATCAAGTCATGGAATGCTTCACTACTCACATCTTCACAAAGGCATATTTTTAGGTCTCCTCTTTAGTTCTCCAAACCACCTTAAATCTATTTTCCTTATATCTAGCTCCACCTTTTGACTAATACACTTCTTAATCTTGTTTGCTCATTTATACATTCATCCAGGGTAACATTCTCATCTCAGCCATACTTCATTTTTTTCTAATCTTGTATTCGTCTCCATTGATATAAATTGCAATAGAACTTAAAAGATAAACCTAATGTATTATAGATGCAAGTTTCTGACTCTATAACAAAAGTAAATTGATTGAACTAATTATTACAAAAATATTACTACAATGTTTCAAAGAGATTTAATTTTCATAGATTATCCTTTTCCACATTCATGAGCTATTACCTGCATTGTTTGTGCATAACTTTAAAGGGGCCAAACTAACAGCAAATGATTCATTTTACTTAAGAAAGGTCATCACCCAGTATCAGTCTTGTCAAAGTAGGGATACAAAAATGGCAATATTGGTATGATCAAGATGACATAAAATGAAACCACTTGAAGAAAAACAGGATAACACTCAAAAACAATAATAAACATGTTAAAAGTAACTGCTAGTCTTATTCTCTTGGTAAAGCAACAGCTCAAAATTTTCAATTTAGCCAACAACCAAAGGCAAGAAAAAGGAAGGTGATATCAAGAAATCAAACCTGTCTTCAGCATAGTAAATGTGTCTGTTAGATGGTTGATTATCAACACAATGCAACACTGCAGTTAGCTTCTCAATTTTCTGTAACAGAATAAAAGCATATTGATAACTAGTTGAACATAGTTTCATTACCAAAACCACATGGGAAATATTAGGCAGCCCTTGATAAACCAAAAATCATCATAAATTATTCATGCTACCTTCTTTTCACTTTGCATTTTCTGTAATATATATCCTATGTCTTGGGTCTTCATTAACATGAGTTCTTCTTGAGTGTATTTGTTAGCCTGACTCCTACACAAATAAAGAATACAGCAAAAGAAAAGAAAGCTAAATAAGCATTCTAGATTGCAAGCCCAAATAGAAAATGGTAAAAACATGAGAGCAGTATGTTACTCAGGTTTATGAACTCCATCAACAGTTCTTGTTTTTATCATCTGAAAGTAAAATTCATCAGGATTCCTTAATGCGGCCTTCTCCTTGAGTCTCTGTAGAGCACATTGACAAAGAGAGCATAAGAAAAAAGAAATGAAAGAAAATTATATTACATAATCATCATGAAACTATAGCCAGCACTCTGATTACAATCTAAGAAGCAGGACAATGAATGCACTAACAAATATCAACAGCAGGAGGAAAAGAAGCATAAACTTACCCGTAAAGTCTCCTCCTTTTTGTGGAATGCTTTCGCACGGACAACATAATCCTTGTGTTTTTCAAGAAGCCCAAATTTTTTCCTTGAGGACCTAACGTATGAACAAGTAACTGTCAGTATGAAAGCAGTTACATTTAAGGAGGAATCTATCTATCATATGGAAGCAGAGAAACTAATTTAGAAAAGCCGGCATAATGAAGCGAAAAGCTGTGACTTACGGTTGAGCTCGTTCCCTGTGAGCCCGTCTACTAATGGCATTTCTTAATGATGACATTTTTAGAGCAAAGGAAAGCAAGCAATCACCCACACTTCACTGTTGGTGTGGTTTAGAAGATTGTGGCTCGTTTGCGGACAGAGCAACCAATAGATATGCTGCAAAACTACTGAAACCTACAAAATCAAAATAACCCTAGAGATTAATGGAAAAGCTATGTGTATAGCATACTTCAAACAAAATTCAATCTGAATTTATCCCATATACATGGCCACCAACTGAATCGCATTGAAAAACTGTCAATCTTTGACAACCGGATTCATCAACTCAAATTAAAAGGAAAAAACAAACCCATGAAGCTTACGGAAATCCACGAAATTCAGCAATAAGAATAGATATATCTCAAGTAAATGACTGCTATGAAGAATGGCAGCGATATAAAAGGGAAAGCAGAGACCAGCAGCCAGAAACGGGAAACCTGAGTTACAGCTACAGAGTTTTGCCCTTGGATTAAGAGTTTCTTTGTCCAGTCATATGGGCTTTAGGCTCTAATATGTTAAGAAAAGATATGATAGGGTAGGGCTTTGGGCTTTGGGCTAAAACGGTATCTACAACATATATTAAAACTGTCCCTAACGAAGTATGGCAATGACACTGTCCAGGGATATAAAAGTCTTTTGCATTGACTCCAACCCATGCATATGGAACCCCGGACGAGGCCTCTATCATATCCTAAAACTGATTTAGAACCCATGTATGCTAACACCAACACCAGAAAACTAAAACCAACGCGCGCTCTGGCTTTGTTTAAATTGAGTCTTAGTCCATTTTCCTTTCTAAGAAAACATCCACAGATGCAAAAATCCACAAGTAAAAACAACTCCAAAAAAAATACAAAAAACAGTCTTTAGCTCCCAATAACACATAACCCAATAATGTGAAGCTAGAATCTATCTAATCCCTTCAAATTCACCAATCATCACCACCCATTAAAACTAAATCTAACACCTTTTGGAAGAATAAAAACATCCAGATCAAAAATAGCACATTAAATACCAAATAAATCAATTCCACATTCAATTTAGCAAAGATTATTTATTTGCAGATCACTCATTGCAGAAGAAAGAAACATGATTGCATAAAGAATTTAAACAAAAA